GAGAGTCAACAAAGGGTGAACTCTCCAGACGTTGGCGGCATCGTCATAAAGTGATGGACAGATTTTGGAGAAGGTGGAAAAAAGAGTATCTGCTGCAATTACGCTCAGCGCACCAATCGACAGAGACGCAGATCAACAGCCTGAAAGACGGAGATGTGGTCTTGGTGCATGAGGAAAAGGCACCGCGAATACAGTGGAGAGTAAGGCGAATTGAGGGGGTGCAAAGGGGACGGGACGGTCATGTGCGCTCGTGTTTGGTGCGCCTTCCCAACGGAACGATCCTTAGACGTCCAGTGCAACTGCTGTACCCGCTGGAACTCGCCACGTGAAAAGTGACAGGCCCTCTTGTTCCGCGGGGCGGGAGTGTGTTCCACAATACGCGAACAACGTACATTAGGGGGAGACCCCACTTAGTATACGCAGCCATCGGGACCTTCGCAGCGATTTAGGCTTCCACGGCCCGCGGGTGAGCCCTGTTTCTGTCGGCGGGTCCCCCCTTTGATGAAATCAATAAATTTGAGCGCTTTTGGGAGCGCCGCTAATGTCCGACACGCAATACCTGTTCAGTTAAACCTGCGACAGTGAGGCCGTTGCGGTAGCAGGCCGCGAGTCTATCATGCAAGGATTGAAAACTTTTGGTCATGTGCTGCTGCACACTGCTTCGCCTTCGAGGGCGGTGTTTTCGAGCTTGTTACGCTCTTATCCTTTTCGTTTCGATTTTGTACTGCCGCAGCTGTCAAAATTTGCCATGACACAACTCGAAGTAGGATTGTTTTCCTAAAATCTAACAACTGATCTGACTTATAATAATGACAGGTTGCAGATCTCCAATTAAAATATGCCAGCTAAAAGGAACTCTTGAAAAATTAATTAGAACATTTTAGTTAATTGAGCCACTAATTGTTTCTTTATACTCTTGCCCTGACAGCCGCCGTGGCCGATAACGTTATTTTGCAGGAATGATATTTTTATTTCCAGTGTTCTTTTTTTCCTGAAGGTTTTCTGTCTTATATTAGACACCCTGTATAAGGTGATTGTGAAATGTCTGTTCGAAGTTATTGTTTTTCCAAGATATTAATAAATAACCAACGTATCTCTGATGAAAAGATGAAGACTGCTGGTCTCAGTTATCTTTTTTTAATCTGCATTTCTTAAACCTACTACCACTGACTTTTTCCCAAATGCACAACCAGTGATGAAATGCGTTATATCGCCGATAGAAACAACATATAATGGAATAGCTTTGTTATTGTGAGAATTCGATGTGTAGAAATCAACTGGACTAGATAAGACTTCTACTATTACATTGAACAGCTGTTCGGAGGATATGGCAAACTATTTACATGCGCTCTTTAATAAATCATTAAGAGATCAAAAGCTTCCAACAGAATTAAAAATGACAAATGTGGTGCCGGAACACAAGTTGGGAGCTAAAAACTGTGTGGAAAAGTATAGGCCAGTTTCTTTAATGTTCGTAAGCTGCAATCTCATGTAACGTGTGATTTATAGTAACCTCATTGCTCACCTGAATGTAGAACGCTTTCTTATCCGAGACCATTGTGCTAGGAGCTATGGTTATCGCAGGGTGGGAAAGAAGACAACTAAGAGGGGGGAAGCTCGAGACATTCTTATTAAATGGCTGGTTCTCGACGGATGCTGGCCTGAGATCTGAGTTTGTGAGACTGACAACACAGTCACCACGGATTACATTCTAGAGCATCTTGTAGTACTGTCTCTGTTGATGTTTTTTACTTCATTTCTGGTGCCAGTGATTCTGGTAACGATGTGGGCTGTTTGTTTCTAGATTTCAGGAAAGCTTTTGGCTTTGTGGACTATGAATTGTTATTTTATGAACTTAACTCATTGTCACTTGATGGCAACATATTGGCTTGGTTGAGGGAGTATCTAAGTGGGAAAATGCAATTCATTGTTGTTAATGGTAAAAATTTTGATTATGTCAATTTCACTTCCAATATTCCCAGGGATCTGTTCTGGGTCCTCTGCTTTCCGTGATCTACATGAATAATATAACTGCTGTTTCGAGATGACTGCATTATTTATAGAACAATCAATGATTCCACAAATATTGATATTTTAGAGTGATATTAACAAAATTGCTGATGTTTGTGACAAATGGAGAATGGTTTTAAACATTTAAAAGTGCATTCCCACTAGATTTACGAACAAAGAGCCCTATTACTTCTGTATGGATGCTTAATAATGAAGTAATTAAAGTTAGCTCATATCTAAAGTACTGTGGTGTTATGCTATCTATGCATAACCTGGAAGAGTCATCATCATCAGTTTGTTTTATGTGCTCTTGAACACACACTGAGTATGCTTCAGTAGTCTGAGACCCTCACCGTAGTTTCAATCGAACAGCCATTGTCTCCGCTTGCGCGACGACAACTGCAAGCCTGCCGAAGTTGCCCTCACGTGCATGTGAACATGACTGCACAACAGAGGCACCAGCCGGGACACTTGCAATTCATTGTTTTACGTTTGCTTAGTTTTGATGAAAATCTGGCACGTCGGGAACCAGTGAAACGGTGGCAAGCGGTTTTTCGGAATTGCTCGGCGATGCCTACAGCACTGTACACTTTTGGGATGTCTCAGCAGCAAAAACACAAGCAGCAAGTTCCGTCACAACATGTCATATCAGAACACAACACAAAGTGCCCTTCGTTTATACAGCACCTAAAACAACTATTTTTATTTTTCTAAGAATATCGGCTCCAAAAGCCACTTTTGCTGTTCCGAAACACTGTATTGGCTGCTCCCAAAGCCATTTTTGCTGCTCGAAAACACTGTTTTGGTTGCTCCAAAAGCCACATTTGCTGCTCCGAAACACTGTTTTGGATGCTCCGAAAAGTGCTCCAAAATGGATTAAGCCAATCACATCACAGATATATCTACTATATAGTAAAGGAAGAAGGTAGAGAGTTCCCTTCCCCTAACTTCGATGTAAAATATTGAATAATCACTCTCTCTCTCTCTTTTTCTCTAAATATAGCGTAGGATGCCGAAGAGTGTAAAGAAATGAAGTCACACTTCGGAGCATTGTTGGTGTTTTAAAGCAATTAGTGAGTCGACGTTTCGGCCTGAGACAGGCCTTCCTCAAGACTAGTTGCCAAAATTGGTTACACAGTTGTTTTTGGTTTACACACCTAGGTCACGTAATGTGACATCACGTGAACTATATATATATAGGTATATAAATATATATATATCAGGGTGTCGAACCGGAACCGAACCGAAAACTGGAACCGAACCGGTACTTTTTCTGGAACTGAACCCGAACCGTTATATTGTTATTGCGATGAACCCGAACCGGAACTGAACCGGAAAAAAAATAACGGTTACCGGCTCATGTCAAAACGGTTCGGCCACGCGCTGTTGACAATGAATGTGCTATCAATGCCATTTGTTTTTTAAGTGCCGTCAACTGACACACACCTCGCTTACATATTTTTCTTCTCCACTCAGTTTTAGGAATATAAACGCTGCATTTATGAATCTTGACAAACGCTGCATCCATGAATCTTGGCATAGGAACCAGTATTGCGCTGGTCGCGGCTTGCACGGAAAAAAGAAAATTGGAAAGCTGTGCAAAAAAAAAATAAAAAATCGCGTCACGGGATTTTATTTTCCTACAATCTCGTAAATCGTAAATGCTGCTGTGTGCTCATTTCATAACACGTTTCTAGAACGCGCGAGTTCTTGAAGCTTGCTTCCATCGGAATGAGAAAAGAAAAGGCTGTGGAGTTCGATAATAATGCATCCGGTTTCTTATAGGCACTTAGAAGCTAACATATTTGTGAGACAGCGAACTCTTCTATTTTAATATTTATCCTATTACGTCCTTCTGGCGTTGCGTTCGGTGAAGTGTTTTTCATATTCCGTATCTTGTTTAATGAAAACTTCTTTAAGGGTCTAATTTGAGTTACCGAAGGCTAGTTCACATAAAGAAAGCTGTATTTTCTCCTCACTGTTCCTTCAATTGCTTACACGCCGAGGTGGCGGGATAGTTAGCGAGTTCTACTTGTAAGTGGGTTTGTAAGGAGGTCGCGGATTTTACAGCTACTGCGTCGGACCCAATTAGATGAAGTCCGAATGCGTCGGTGAGGTAACCTTTGAGTGCACATAAAGAAACCATTCCTGGTAGAAATCCCTGAGCCTTACACTACGATGTGTCCCGTTTCGTATGTGCTGATTTCAGATGTTTTATTTGTAATTTATTTTGATGTTGCAATTTGTCATTTATAATTTCCGAACCGGTTCGCAAACCGGTTCAGCGCCCCGAACCGGTTCGCGGATCGAATTAATCGAACCGGAACTGAACCGGAACGAAATAAATTTACCTGAACCTGAACCTTAACCGAACCCGTATTTTTTTCGGTTCGACACACTGATATATATATATATATATATATATATAGAGAGAGAGAGAGAGAGAGAGGGAGATATCTTATTCTAATGATGTTTTAATAATACTTTTTTATATTAGTTCTATACATTTTAATAAATCTTCCATTGTTTTTGTTTAAATGTTTGTAAATCCACTTTTTGCTCAAATGCCTCACGGTGATGCAGGCTTCTTTGTAAATAAATAAAAAAAAAATCTACTGGAGAAGAATGATTTGCCGGCAGATATGGCATCAACTGATAGTGCATTCCTTGTTGGAATCATCAGAGCATAATTGATATACTTTTGTGGCTGTTGCTGTGTGCTGATGATTTGTGCCAGCCATAATTTTGATGTGCTTTTGTTGATACATATTAATTTGGTGTTTTCATGTAATAATGCGACTGTAAAATCCACTCCTCCTGCTGTCATGCTTTGGCAATGCAGGGTTTTCTGTAAATGAAATAAAAGTAATTGCAATGAATGAACACGAGCATGACAGTCGTTGCTGTACCGCAATTTCAAGGATGTTTGTGGTACTGAATTGTGTGCCCCTGCTATCCTCTAAGCACATGCATTTGGTCTCTTCCTGCAGGAGCCTGAAAACGCTGTTGCAGGATCGTCTGGAGCAGGGAGAGAATGCAACAAGGTATGTGCAGTGTTTCAATTTCAAAGCCACATAATGCTCTCAATTCACTCCAGTTCACTGCGAGTCTATCTTTCAGGAGTTTTCAGCTTCCGTAGCTGTTTTAATGTTTCCATATCCAGAGCTATAGTTTGGGCTGCTTGAAGTATTAATTTTCATTGATTCTTGTACTTAAAGTTGTTGGTGTGTGTGTGTTTTGACTTGTGCACAACTGCTATCCTCTGAGTGCATGCGTTTGGTCTCTTTCTGCAGGAGCCTGAAAATGCTGTTGCAGGATCGTCTGGAGCGAGGAGCAAATACTACAAGGTACCATGTGCATGCAATGATTCAATCTCAAAGCCACGTACTGTAAAACCTTTTATTTTCGCGGCCCGTATTTTTCGCGAATTGGTCATGAAGGACATTCCAGACGCCTGTATTGAAACTCTTAAAAACCGAAATTTTTGTGTGCCCTTAAATTTCGCAAATTTTTCAATTTGCGAAAATTAAGTGCTCGCAAACATTAAGGATTTACAGTAATCGGGTGGAACGTCTGCGCCATTTTGCGCCACACGCACTTGTCTGCGCCATCCCGCGCCATGTTGCGGAAACTGTGCCACAGCCAATTCCTCGCGCCATTATGCACCAAAACGCAAAACGTGCGCAAAAAAAAAAAATTGTCTTGGTTTCGGTTTTTATCTACTTGATTGGCAACAATGAGCGCATTTAGTTTGGTCGGCCTTGCAATCCTTTGTTCTGTTTATTCTCCCTGTGTATCCTGAGTCGGAAGCACGCTAAAAAAACTGGGGAGTCGGATTCCAAGCTCTACACCACCTGCAACTGGATTGTTATTCTTCAAACATCAGTGGTTAAGTAAGTCGGCCGATGTGAGGTCGAGTCGTTGAGCATCAGATTGTCTGAGGCCCTGCGGCTCGGGATCCGGACGTCAACCAGTTGAAAACAAAGGAGCCAAAGATCCCTTTTAGTACTTCATCATTAGAAGTTGGAACCGCATTCCCGCGAGATAAATTGTGATTTGATAGAACTGAAACGCGGTCCGATCCGAAACCTTGCCGGCCAGCAGCTCTCACGCGAGCAGTAGATCTGCTCAGCGTACTTTCACCTTGCTCCTGCTTATCGCTTAGAATATGATAACTCCGTTAATCGTAGTCTGCTGCTTCGATATTCAGTTGCACAATAGGATAAACTCGAAATTTGTTGCCCTGTTCATCTGCGCAGCTGCACGTCCGTTGCTTACGCACGTCAAGTGGTTGGCACATATAATTACTATGCCGAGCACGTGTGGGTTGTGCGATAAGCTGTGCTGGCTTGCATTTTGAGCAGCTGAAAGCCACTCAGAAAATATCAAGGACACTGCCTTCAGTAACATATGGTACTTGCTTTTCGGTTCTCATTACGGCTCACTAAGTTTCAAGTTTTTGCATCTGTTACACTGTTATCCTATCAACCTAGGTCCCTAACCACTCATGTTCATCTGTGCTGCTAAGCACAATTGAAATCGCTCCCATGCTCGTCTAAGACACAACCTGAAGTGCAATGAACACTGATCTGAGCTGTTCCTAGCCTGCTCCAGAATGTGGTTTTAGCTGCTCCCAACCTGCTCCAAAACAGCTGTTTCAGCTGCTCCCGTGGCTGCTCCCAAGTACATTTCATGAGTTCCACCCCTGAGTAATGCTCTCAATTCACTCCACTTCTCAGCTAGTATATTTCTCAGGATCAGCTCTTTGTTTGAGTTTCAGGCTTCACGGCTGTTTTAACATTTCCATAATCAGGTCTTCTGACATGTGCGGCTGTTGAATTAACTGTAAAAGAATGCGTGCACACAAACTGTACTTCTTTTATTTCTATCATGTTTTGCTTTGCTGAGGCTATTTATAGTTGCAAAATTAGACACTCCAAACTGGCTGCTCCAGCGGTGGTTGAATTGAATTCGGACAATGAGAACTCGTCATTCTATGGAGAAGCTCTGTCAAATACATCCTGTTCAGAGTATGAGACCACTGAAATATATTGGGGGGATGTGGCAAAATGAACCTTGTTGGAAAAACTCGCCTTCAATATTTACGTCCGATGTTTCTCAATCTGGACCGTTTGCAGATGCTCTGCTGCCATTAGATAACTGAAAAACTTGCGCATTGACGTATGCTTCTTACTATGCCATTGGAAAAAACAATACCCTTTTGCCGGATGTTTTGGAAAAATTGACCTCGAAAGAGTTAAAAACAGCAGCATACTTTATTCAAGGTGCTTGAGGTCTTTTCAAACTGGGTTAGGTTTCAGGAGCACTGAACACACGCAAATAAGACGCCAACACACCCTAGCTACAGAACTGTCGAGAAGGCAGTGTGCAACAAGGTTTAGTGAATGAAAGCAGTTTCTGAAGTATGATATACAATAATCATTCACTCTCAGCTCATTCGATTTACCCGCTCCGGTGCAGGAGAGTGCAGGGCAATGTAATTCCGGTTATGCTTTCAGATGAGCTGCACTCGTAAATCGAATATGGCATTTTGCAGCCATTGCGACAGGTGCAGGTAAATTTACTGCAGCAACTGTAAAACAGCGGATTAAAATTCACGATGCAAATACAAAATACTAATAAATAGGTCGTATACTTTCCGTTGTTTATTTATGTAAAAAATCAGCGGATGTTTTTCGGTGTTTATTTCCAATGTATTGGCACATTTTGGTGAATCGTCTTGTGCAGATGCTTAAAACGGCTTTTATCGACGGGAAAAGATTGCGAATAAAAACGAGCAATCAAGACTGTTCTACTTTTATGTTGTTCACACTTCATTATTGTAATATATGCACGCACACATTCCAAGGTTCGCATCTGCTATTCCCGCCTGCTCCTTCCTGTTGACTATGCGCAATTTCGACAACACACACTCTACATTTGTGCTGAACAGGGGAAGACCCAAAATGTCCAAAGGCGCTTGGGAGAGTACTGGCCAGTCTGGTGAATGCAGCTTCCGAGACTCGCTTCTATTCAAACAACATGAAAGATACTTTAAACCACTCAACTAGGGTCCACAAAGACGTAGGGCAACCTTCAGTGAGGCAATCTACAAAAGGGCACAATGAGGACAAACTTTTGGGGACATAAACTGAAGGTCAAAGAAACCAGCACTGACAAAAACAAACCTCAATTACTTTTAGACCTTAAAAAACCTAAAGCGACAACCGTTAAAAAAAGAAAAAAACTTTCAGCCTTTCCACTCTGGTGAAGAAGGAAGACCAGCGAAGCTGTACTATGGTGGGACGACTTCAAGGACGACTTCTTAGACGACCTCAGGGACGACACTTGGAGGTTGACGTCTAGGACGACCTCAAGGACGACGTCTAGGACGACCTCAAGGACGACGTCTAGGACGACCTCAAAGATGACTTCTAGGATGACCTCAAGGACGACATCAAGGACGATGTGTAGGACAACCTCAGGGACGACATCTAGCACGACCTCGAGGACGACGTTTAGAACGACCTCGAGAACGACTTCTAGGACGATCTCGAGGACGACCTCAAGGACGACCTCAAGGACGACCTCAAGGACGACTTCTAGGACGACTTCAAGGATGACTTCTAGGACGACCTCAAGAACAACCTCGAGGACAACATCAAGGACTTCGTCAAGGACGACGCCTAGAGAAATTCAGCCTTTCCACTTTAGTGAAAACCAGAGTGGAAAAGCTAGAAAGGTTGCCGCCATCTATGAGCGAGGCCGGTAAATCGGTTGTCTGGTTGCCGCCTTCGCTCATAGATGGCGGTAGCTGCCCAGAGTTTTGTGTCGACAATTTTTTGCGGGGGACACGATCCTGGGGAAACTAACCCTTAACACCTCCACTGTTAAGAAAGAGTTAATGAGTTTAAGGAATGTGTACATAGGACTTTTTCGGTGACAAAAAACAACTGCTGCTTATACGAAAATATCTCGAAACCTTGTATTTTTCGGTTTTAACCGATTATTTATTTTCCACTTCGGCAGATGTTTATCGACGTTTTTTTTGTTAAAACCGGAAAGTATACTGCCTACTAATTCGCTAGTGCGTGGGTCCTCAAAATGGGTTTTGAACCCAGCGGTCGCCCAGAGTACCCTCTTGAGTTCCCTGAGCTCTCACATTTCTTCGGCCGTCCCCGCCCCTAAGCGAAGTTTCCTTCCGTTTCAGGCACTCCATTGGAAGATCTGAGTCATCCGTTGATGTATAATGACATGTCGTACACTTTGCGGCATGTGCATTACTGTTTACAAGATCTGTAGGCACTGCGCTGCTTTACTGAGGGGTTCCTCAGCTATCAACCAAGGAAGATAGGTTTTTCCTAAGATTGAAATGTTGCATTCTGTTTCAGAAAGTCATCTTTCTTCTGAACACAAAAAACCTCAGATTCGGCCTCATTGCTGAGCCATTCGTTTTGTTGAAGAGCCCGTTTACAAGAGCACCGACTCTCTGTTTCTAATGAGTCCACCATTTCTTGCCTTTATTTCGTAGCTCTTTCCACTTTGTGTTAGTACCATGAATCATTTGCACGATCCCGTGCACAAGATAATCCTTGGCCATGCCATTTCGCTGCTGACACGCCATATTGTACCGTCAGAAATTCTTCCATAACATCTCCCACAGGACACTCTTTATTGACAGTGAAGCCCATTTTCACAGCAGCACATGTGTGAGACAAATGGAGGATAATCCCAACAGGCAACAGTAGCTCTTTGTAATCGCACAAACACAGCTCGTCAGCATTCTACTTCTGGATCTTAGAATTTTAGTTTATTACTTTAAATTGTTGTGTGTCTTTATTTACTATTACATTTGCAGTTTCCAGAATCTCTCCCTTTTCTACTGGTCAGGGAAGTTCATTGAAGTTCTTTTATCCTTCAGGGAAGAACTCAATTTAGCTTGTTGCGGACTTATTCCATGCTTCCAAGAACATAGCAAGCCCATAGGTCCCACTCGCGGCTGCTGCTTATACTGATAGCAGCCGTGCTATCTACGGCAAAGAGTGACGTCACAGTTCACCGACACATGGCTTTTGGCTTGGCCACAATGACACAATACACTCCCCTCTGCAGGGGGAGTCTTCGGCTTGTAGCGCTTTGGAGGTGGGCTTGGCCGTGCTGTGCGCAGGATCAGAGAAGCCGGTGGAGCTTCTGGTCTGGAGGTCCCGTTGTCTGACAGTGGAGCACTGGGACCAACAGTCACAGTGCTGGGCAGGCTGGAGTCTGGGTTAGGCAGCGTCCGTGATGTCACTGCTCCATTCCCTGCTGGTGACGGGTCATTGCCAGTTGTAGCGTGTCGGTCTTGAAGCCTGAAGACTAGGGATGGGCGAATATTCGGTTATTACGAATAGCCAATCGAATTCTGTTCTATGCGGCATTCGCTTCGAATCGAATTTAAGTATTTTACAATATTGAATTATTCGACAATATAGGATTATTCAACCTTTCTAAATACAGTCAAACCCGACTATATTGAACCCGTTTACATCGAATCATTCCTTATATCGAACATTTTTTGTGCACAGTAATGTTACAGTGATAATATATAGCAAAAACTATGGTTGCATCGAACAAAAATAGCAGCCGCTACCGATATATCGAACTGCCAAGAGCGCCGTTTTGCTCTGCAAGCTGGCTTTCCCCCAACGCGAGCGGCCGCATTGGGAGAAAACCAACTTGCAAAGCACGCTGGCTTTTTTTTTTTTTCCCGGGCAGTTGCGTTGATTAGAAGAGAAAATATAGCTAGCGGAGAGAGGGCGCTCCGTGCTCCCTCTTCCCGCCCTGTCCGCAAAAGAGAGTATTTTTTTTTCTTCCAAGCAATTAACACAACCACCCAGGAAAAAAAAAAAAAAAAAAAAAAAAAAAGCCAGCATGTTTTGCTAGCTGGCTTCCCCCAAGGCAGCCACATTGTTGTAGGGGAAAGCCAACTTGCAGAGCAAAACGGCGCTCTGTAGGAGAAGGTGCTCCCGCTCGGACGTGCTCCGTGCTCTTGGCATAGTTCGGCGCTAATGCGCGAATATAGAAGGCAGCGGCCTCAGCATTTTGGAGTCCGTCGATATGGTAGAAAAATATTGTTATCGTGGATGCAATGAAGAAAAAGCAGCAGAAGATGCAAGACTACTTCATTGTGCACTATTTCAGCAGAAAGTGGATTTTCGAGAGTCAAATTCATTTAAACTTTTATATTGAATTACCCGCTATATCGAACTGGTAGACGTTTTCTTGCGAGTTCTATATAAACGGGTTTGACTTACTCTGGCTTGGATTTCCGGCCAGGTGGTGCAAGCTTGCGACCATTTTGACCATTTCTTGCTCCCGAACTCAATGCACTTGAAATGAATAATTACAGTACTTTTAATGCCAAATAAGGGCAAATATAAAACTATAGTTTAAACATATCTTGTGGTATTTGTTGCTTGTACTATTCGAACTATTCAATTCGAAATTATTCGGCCAATATCCCTATTCGCTTCGAATTCGATTCGGACCCAAAATCTTCTATTCGCCCATGCCTACTGAAGACGGCTCCAGTAGGTTGGGTGTCCTCAGATCAGCCTGAAATGATCTCGCTTGCAGGTAGTCAGCATGAAGGTTCCGCTCTTCCTCCTCTACACGAACCAGATACGTAGCGGCGTTCACATGCTTGCTTACTGTGCCCGTCAGCGATTTGGAATCGCCAGCTTGTAGGCCCTTTATTATAACTTGGTCACCTTCAGAGAACTCTCTCCAGGTCCCTCGGTTCTAGTCCGTGGACTCCTTGGTTCGCTTGAGTTTTTTTTTCATTTGTTGCTCGATGTCGGGATGCAAAAAACTCAGTCCTGTTCTGGGCCTCCATGACAGAAGCAGCCGGGCAGGAGTTTCGTCTGTTGTCCCGGTGGGTGTGTTCCTGTAACTAAACAGGGCTGGTCATTGCGATGTTGCAGAGACTTCGCATGACCGCTTCTCTGCTGTTCTATCACTTGTTTGAGCAAAGCTTTTTTACGGTCTGGACGGAGCGTTCTACGCTGCCATTGGAGGCGTGATGGTAAGGCAGAGACTTGCTGTGTTGCATCTCATTCCTAGTCGAAAGCAGTTCAAAATCCTTGATGTGAATTGAAGTCTGTTGTCAGTTACCACAGCTTCAGCTAGCCTGTATGCAGCTAATGCACCACGCAGTTTTTCCATGGTCTTCTCACTACTGATACTGTTCATCACAAACTCTTCAATTCATTTAGAATGAGCATCCACAAGCACAAGAAACCATTGCTGATTTCAGTATGCATAGTCTAGATCAGGGGTGGCCAAACCGCGGCTCGCGAGCCGCATGCGACTCTTTGCTGGTCCAGGTGCGGCTCGCGGATCCCTTGTAAGGGAACCCCCCCCCCCCCCCCCCCCTCAACACACATTTCCCCAGGAAAAAAAGAAGGGATTTCAGGCAGAATGAAGTACGGCTCGCGGTTTGGCAGCTTTATACCTCCATACGTACTGTCGTACAGCCTTGTGCACTCATACGTACAGTCAGGCTCTCAACAAAATTTAAACTTGCGCCCCCCCCCCTCCGTGGCTCTTAGAAGTTTCGTGGTTTCGTTTGCGGCTCTTAGGACTGGTCAGCCTGGCCACCCCTGGTCTAGATGCACTCTCTCCCATCTACGTGCTGGCCAACCCCACGACAACAAAGGTACTTTAGGCAGAGCATTTTGAGACCATCTGACACGTGACACCTTCTTTCACTACATGTTGCGCTTGACGAGGGCGCCAGACGTGACACCTGGACAACATTTTCATTCGCATCATCCCGGACGACCTTTGTGCAACATCGTCAAAATGTTGCCTCTGAGGGACAACAAAACCCTTCGTTTGTGAGCATTTCTTTTTTAAAACAATGAAATCAATTCGAGTTTTGAGTTAAATGTACTTCTTGTGCAGCCGTGCTAGATACTTACAAAGAAAGAGGCTTTTTTTTTTTTTTAGCTTTTTCTAAACTTTTTGTGCTTACCCATCGAGACATGACCCACCCCAGTTTTCCTATGAACTTCAGGTGGCTTTTTTTTTTTGTGAGGCTGCAGCTGTCGGTGTATGGGGCTAAAGGCTTGTCAAGCGTCCACTGGAGGCTTTCCCCTTAAAAACTCCTTTTACAAATATTATTACTATCTATTGCCTCGCAGGTTGGAGGTTTGGTGGATGTGCTCAATTCGACGCATGGTGCCTGGTTTGAGGCAAAGATCATCAACATTGTGAGGAAGGAGTCTACTGAGCCAGAGCCGACCCCGGAAGAGTCTGCATCGCGGCGCACTGCCGAAGACGACGACGACGTCCTCTACTGCATACAATTCGATGAGTGTGTTCCCACTCTAATCTGCACGAACGAGATTTCAAAGCATAAAATGGCTTCAAGAAATCAGTAACCCGACAAAGTGAGGGTCAGCTTCACACGAGCGTCTTTAACTGTCCCCAGCCATTATGGCTCTGCCAATCAGAGGTAGTACAGTCGAACGTGCAATTCATACAAACGAAAAAAAGATCTTTACTTTCTTTGTATTTTTTGTTTCTTTAGTATCTGAAATAGCTGTATAGCCTTACCAGTTTACCTAAAATCAGCTTTGCTGTAAAGAAAAGTTATGGTTGCTGTAGAGAAAAGTTATGGCAAGCTCGTAACGACTGTATCTGCTGTGCTTGAATACTGATATACATTTCACTCCACATTTTACAAGCAATAAGGCTGTTTCTTTTTGTGATAATTCAGCTGTTTTGTAAGCCTCATTTCATAAATTACAACCATCTTTTAATATACTTCATAATTTCATAAGACAGACATAACTTCATAAGACAGACAAGGCTTCACATTTTGAGCTCTCTGTGTGCTGCTGAGACTCGAATTTACCCCTTCTCGACATTCCGGATTATTCTCTTAATTTTTCTTTCCTAAAATATGAGTCAAACTTTAATATAACAGGGTGTCATTTTGACTGCGTTCGGAATCTTAATGAGCGGATTCAAGTTATTCCGGTAAATCACATTGCGTCACAATGCACATAGAGTAACGATGAACACTGGTGGGTTTTCAAACAGTGAAGTGCAAAACTTGCTCTTGAACGAGATTGTAGGTAAATTTTGGAACATGGCTATTTTGTTTTAGATTACTTTTCTCTGAGCTTTTATGCTTTCTTTGATGCCTCAGCTATTAATGCAGAGCTGTAAGAGGTACTCTTACAGCTCTGCAGAAATATAACTACCATAAAACCACGTAAGGTCTCCCTCCCCCGAGGGATTACCATCCCGTTTTTCTTTCTAAATACCCGTAACATAAAAATTGAGAAACATTGCTCATCCCCAATTCCAGTCGGTCACATGTACCGGTACCGCACGATCTGCGGTACCGGTACCTGTGACAAGCGAGTTCGCAGCGGGTTTGTTTTTGTCCGTGATCTGTGCGCGCAATATCGGTTCTCCTCTTGTGACAGATGAGTTCGTAGCCAGCTTCCATGTGTTTTTCGCACCGTGAAACACGAATCTGCTGCACCTGCTGTCTGCGGTATCCTTTCCGCTGACACAGGAGTTCATATCGAATTCCCCCGTGTTTATCACATTGTGAAATGCAAATTTGCCATGTCTGTGATTTGCGCTTTCAGTTCCCGTGTTGCTTAGTTTGCAGCGGGTGCCCCCGTGTTTATTATTAATTTTTGATGAAAGTTTTCTGTTTCATCCTTATAATAGCCCACCTCACGTTCTCCACCATTAATTTCTTCATTTTGGATGGGCACCCTTACGGGATTTTATGGTAATCTATATGTAATTACAGGATTGTGACCAGTTCGGTAAATCCCCTCTGGAAAAAAAAGCGCTGAAACCGTAATTATTTCGATGCATAAACTAATGCGCGAATATTGATTATTCATTGAAAGTTCAATGTGAAACTTCAGCAGAAATTGACAGTCCAAGCGTAAAAAAAAATGCAACAGAAATGAGGTGTATTTTGATGGCAAATTGACAGTGCACGAATGGGGAACCGTGCAAGTGTGCAATTGTGTTCCTGAGCAGCGTGCGAAGAACAGTGCTGGGACCCTAATCTACAGGGCGGGACCAAGGGTCTGGGACATTGCTGCCCACTGCGATTGGCCAGCTGCATACCGCCGACCAATCGCAGCGGGTGGTAATGCCCTGGTCCCTCGGTCCCGCCGTGTAGATTAGGGCTTCCATACACTGTCCTCCAAAACAGAAATGAAAGCTCGATTCTCGTTCCACTTTAACCCTGGAACGAGTTCTCGTATCAAGTTCAGGAGACGCATTCCCATTACATTGCTAAGATTTGAAGGTGTTGTTACTTGAATGTTAAATTTGCGAATTTTAACAAAATATTGTGCCGGATAATCTGTGGATTAAATAAAGCGAGCAAGTGAAAATATCCACATCAAACAATGTGTTGAGTTGCCGTGATCACATTTGTTCCGGTTCTTTGTTTTTGACTGTCTCTCTGATGCTTCCCCCTTCCTCAAAGTCGGAGAATGAAATAACCGATGATAAAGAGCCTAAATTGCTATTAAATTCAAGTAAAATTGCCGATAAACAGAAAAAAATGATTCCCCGCAAAAAAGATGGAACACTGGCATTCCTCAGTTCCTCCTAAAAAAAACGCATTTCGTACAAAAACAGCCCACGAGTGGATCGAAATGGCAGCACCTTCCCCGTGGACATTGCAGCTACGAGGACGAGAGGGTGACCGTGCCGCTGAGCAGCATCCGTCCCCGTGCTCGGCGACTGATTCCCTTTGCTGACGTATCCGTGGGGGATGCGCTGATGGCCAACTACAATGTGGAGGATCCCGATGAGCTGGGCTTCTGGTACGACTGCGAGGTGACCGCCAAGAGGGCCACCCGCACTACCAGGGAGCTGTCGGCCACCGTCTATGTCGGGTGAGCGCGCCTCGCCTAGAGCCGCCAAACGAGCTACGAGTGTCCGCACTTCCTTTCCCGGTTTTCTTATGGGTGCCGCCGTCTTGGTGCTTGGTGAAGAGCTAGCAAAACTGGCGACGGTCGCGATTAAAAGATGCGACTTCCCGAGGATGCAGTGTCTCGAAGATCGGGCGATGTTGTTCTCCTCGGTCGCGGATTGTTTTAACATTGCTGGAGGATGAAAAATCATTTCTTGCAACTTTATATAAAGATCCAGAGGCCAGATTCACGAAGAGCTTCCTTATTTACGACAACTTAGCTAACAAGATGGTAAGTTAAGTACACTGTATGACGAGGAGAAATTGGTATTCACGAACGCGTTCTTAGGTGAGAGGAGGAAAGCAACGTTCTCGTACGGAAAAACTAGAACTTCCGGTGGTGTTGCTATGGCGATGCAGTGGTGGAACGGCTGCGCCATTTGCACCATTTCGCTCCAGAGGCATTTGTCTACGCCATCCTGCGCCATGTTGCGGAAACTGTGCCATAGCCAATAGTTCGCGACAATATGCGCCAAAAAAATTGTATTTTGTCTTGGTTTCAGTTTATATTGACTCGATTGGCAACAATGAGCGCGTTTAGCTTGGTCGGCCTTGCAAACCTTTGTTCTGTTTATTCTCCCTGTGTATCCCGAGTCGGAAGTGCGCGAAAAATCTCAAGGGTCGGATTCCAAGCGCTACACCACCTGCAACTGGATTGTTATTCTTCAACCATCAGCGGTTAAGCAAGTTGGCCGAGGTGAGGTCGAGTCCTTAAGCGTCAGATTGCCTGAGGCTCTGCGGCCCGGGATCCGGACGCCAGTCAGTTGAAAACAAATGAGCAAAATATTGTTTTTACAGCGGAGCTGTTAAGGGCTAGGTTCCCCAGAATTGTGTCCGGTACCAAAATTCTGTCAACACAAACTACACAAACCTCTGGACAGCTACCACCATCTATAAGCGACTGCGGCAAGCACACAACCAGTCTGGTTGCCGTCGTTGCTCGTAGATGGCGGCAACCTTTGCAGTTATCATAGAAGAATGGATACTTGGGTGCGTTGGTGGGAATTCATCGTAGGAAACAGCACAAAAAACAGACTAGGACGAAGAAGAAAGGAAGACCAGTGGAGCTGTACTCGATACACTGCCGCAACGCTCAAGCGCTTAATTCCCGCTTCTTCTCGTCTGACACGCCGCCGATCGTGGATACGTCTCCGGCGAACCAGAGTCGGTCGCACACGGTGCACGTGATGCCAAACGGGCTCTTTACGAACTCCCTCCGGAACCACTCCGTCGCACCCGGGAACTGTTCAGCCGGCGTGGAGTGCAGTTGTCGTCCGTGGCGTTGGCCCGCCGGCGCCCTTTACATCGCTGGTTCTGTTCTCGGCGGCTCGTTACGTGTGCTTCTTCTTCGTCGTCGTCTGTTTTTCGCGCTGTTTCTTACGATGAATTCCCACCAATGCGCCCAACTATCAATTCTTCCATGATAGCTGGAAAGGTTGCCGCCATCTACGAGCGACGGCAGAAACCATACTGGTTGTGTGCTTGCCGCCATCGCTTATAGGTGGCGGTAGCTGTTCAGTTAGGTTTGTGTCGACATACCGGACACAATCCTGGGGAACCTAGCCCTTAACTGCTCCGCTGTAAAAGACATGTGACGAACGCAGCGCTCGTCACGTATGTTTCTTCGTCCTCGTCTGTTTTGCGCGCTGTTTCCTACGCTCTTGTCAATTTCGGTTTGGACTCAGGATGGGTCGGCCGCGCTCCATTTCGGGGAAAGAGCGGCAGGAGCGGCGACGTACGCAGCAGCGCGAGTGAGTCCACAACCGACGGGAAGCCGCTGTCGCATCAACTTCCACTGCGTCCACCGCTTCAGACTCCCTTGCGAAAGAAGAGCACATCGCTCGCCTGGAAAGCCGCCGCCGAGAACAGAACCAGTGATGTAAATTGCGCCGGCGGGCGCAATTTACATCACTGGTTCTTTTTACATCAGACGATGTAAAAAGAACCAGTGATGTCTGATGTAAATTAGAACATCAGTTCTAATTTACATCAGACGATAATCGTGCCACGGAGGCCAAATGCAAGCGCGAGGCCCGGCGACGACAGCACTCCACGCCGGCTGAACAGTTCCCGGTTGCGACGGCGAGTTTCCGGAGGGAGTTCGTGGAGAACCCGTTTGGCGTCACGTGCGCCGTGTGCGACCGACTCAGGTTCGCCGGAGACGTATCCACGATCGGCGGCGAGTTGGACAAGAAGAAGCGGGAAATGGATGCGTGCGCGTTGCGGCAGTGTATCGAGTCGGCGGACGTTTACAAAGAACCGGCGTGCAGGACGTGCCGAGATTCCCTGCCCAAAGGCACGGTGCCCCGGTTCGCGACCGTGAACGGCTACAGGTACCCACCCGTACCGGAGCACCTACCGAGGTTGAACGTGGTAGAGGAACGACTAGTGGCGCCTCGACTCCCGTTCATGAGCCTTCGGCGGATGACGGGGTATAACAAAGACAACCGGGGAAAGTACGGTTGTCACATAACCATTTTCCCAATCAAACATTAATCCTTACATTTCTAAATACTAAATTTCTACCATAGTACAGCTTCGCTGGTCTTCTTTCTTCACGAGAGTGGAAAGTCTGAAAGTTTTTCGTACTTCATCCTTAGAAGTTGGAACCGCATTCCCGCAAGATAAATCGTAATTTGATAAAACTGAAACGCAGTCCGATCCGAAACTTTGCCGGCCAGCAGCTCTCACACGAGCACTAGATCTACTCGGCATACTTTAACCTTGCTCAAGGTTATCGCTTCGAATACGAGAACTCCGTTAATCGTAGTCTGCTGTTTCGATATTGAGGTGCACAATAAAATAAACTCGAAATTTGTTGCTCTGTTTCTCCGTGCAACTGCACGTCCGTTGCCTACGCACGTCACGTGGTGCGCAGATATAATTACTATGTCGAGCATGTGGGGGTTGTGCAATAAGCAGTGCTGGTTTCCATTTTGAGCAGCTGAAAGCCACTCAGAAAATATCAAGGACACTATCTTCAAGAACATATGGTACTTGCTTTTTGGTTTTCATTAAGGCTCGCAACGTTTCAAGTTTTCAGATCTGATACACTGTTATCCCATCAACTTAGGTCTCTAACCACTCATGTTCATTTGTGCTGCTAAGCACGATTGAAATTGCTCCCGTGCTTGTCTAAGACACAAGCTGAAGTGCAATGAAAACTTACCTGAGCTGCTCCTAGCCTGCTCCAGATTATAGTTTTAGCTGCTCCCAACCTGCTCCAAAACAGCTGTTTCAGCTGCTCCCATGGCTGCTCCCAAGTACATTTCACAAGTTCCATCCCTGCGACAGCGTCTTTGGCAGCACGAACAACCAATCGGAGAGCTCGGCATGGTTCGGAGCACGTGCATTTTTAATAACAAACAGAGGCGGCCTTTCCGCCACTGCCTGTCCGGGGTTCGTGTCCGTCCAGTGATATGTCGACGCTAACACGATTTAAACGCGCCCAAATGTTGAGGCCGGCATGCATGACCGCCTTTGTTGACTGCTACGAACTTGAGCGCTACAAAGTCAACACAACTGTCATCATTGTTAGCGCATAACGGAACCGATCACTGTCGGCGGCGGAGCCAGGCAGGTCGATTCCATCGGTATGTGTTTCTGTTTGCCTACTTACATAAATCGTGGCACCCGTCGTGCATTGAGCGTTAGTGATTACAAGACACTCGGGTGAATGCACTAACGCATGGGAATGCCTGGACGTTACAGCGCCGTAAATGGTGCTCCGGTACACATGTTGTGTTTTTACTTTTTAATTTTTGGTTGGGACGTTGCTCGTGTTGCAAAACACTACTGTAAAATCCCGTAAGAATGCCTTCCCACTGCCGCCGCCTAGGTTCTGTTCTTGTATACTCTCCGCGCCTCTACAGAACAGCTTGCGTAACTACTTTTGCTTCTTCCATTGCAAGCGCAGTCACCCCCGTCCTAAAAAAACGTTTCAGCCAAAAAAAAAAAAAGTGTGTCTCCGTTATTTTTAACACATGCAACATCTCACGCAATTGTTCTTCCAAAACGCATATCTCCTCACACACGTCTCCTACATCAATTCCACTGAAAGCAAAGGACCCATTGCAAACATTGTACAGCACACTGGTTGAAGATAAATCTCCTTCAACGTGTCTTTCCACAATGCAGCAGCTGCCGCTGTCAATCGCAGCACACATTATGTGGCCATTTGCAATTTTTTTTTGTAATTGTGATTTGAAATATGGAAATTTTCTGGTTAAACCCAAACTTATGGAAGCTTTACCAGCCAAAGTTATTGGACAACTTGCATGGTGTGCAAGTTGTCGAATACATCAGTGCGAGTGTGGTCCTACTCGTCGGTAAAAATACGAGGGAAACATTTTATGAGCGTGGTTTTACTTGCCCGACCAGGCTTCATTGGCTAACTACATGTAATGCTTCTACATAACATGGAAATATGTGAGCGCAAAGTTGTGCATATTTTGTTGCAGTGTGCTAGTATCAGTATCTTTTCTTTGGAAATGTGCATTTGCTGATGCAACAGGCTCGAGCACTGAAATTCTTGTTGCGTTGCTGTGGGAAATGTTCTTCTTAAGCCACACACATGCCATTCGATAAAGCTAATAACAAATGCCTTTACAACATTCTGTCGTGACACGGGGAATAAATGCAGGGCAAGTAGAACACCTCTCAACAACTGTCGCCTAAAGTTCTGCGACGAGCTCTTCGCCATCGAGGGGCATCCTACCATCACCTCTGAGGAATGCGACAAGCTTCCCGAGTCGCCCGTCAAGCGTGAGTACCTTTGTCTACTTTCTCTGTGAAGCATTGCCTTCAATCTTTTCTGTTAATTTGGTGTGGGTGGTAATTTAGCAGTCATAAAAAAATTATTGCTTACCAGAGCATTATCTTGAACAAACTCCAAAAGCCCAGGGAATAATTCACACCTGCTGGACCTTTTTTTGAGTGGAGTTGTGGTGTGTTAATAAGGGACTGTAATCGTGACTGGGTATTCTCAAGTTGTGCGTTCGGCTGTCATCTCGCATTGACAATGTTGCCACCAGAGAGTGGTGACGGTGTTTTCGTTAGCATCACTCTCTGTGTGGCAGCAAAAATGAGTCGTGACATCTGCACATTGTTTTTCTGGTCTCAAATATTAGCGCACAGTTCCGTAATATGATTGAATGGAAAGCGCCGAATGAACAAGGACGAAGAAGGGGACAGAGACGAAGCGCACTCACAACTGAAGGTTTATTGAAAACAACATTGACTATTAATACCGTCTATCAGGGTGTTGGCTTAAAAAGAAAAACTCTTTATCAGTTAAGTGCAGTGACGGCGCACTAATACACAGACTCACCCCTTGCTCTCTTATGCGGAATGCCTCGTGTATTTCTCGCGCTGTTTTGTTTTCGTATCTGCCCAGAACTGTTGTTTTTTCCAATTCCGGGCCACATGGGCACCTATCACAATGCACCGCAAGATTGCCCGACGGGGACTGTTTGACTGACCAGGCATGTTCTCTGGCCCTTTCATTTATGCAACGCCCCGTTTGGCCGACATACGATTTCCCGCAACTCAATGGTATGTTATACACCACTGACGTTGCACACTCCACGTATTGATTAGCGTGTTTCTTTTGACACACCTTACCCTCTCCCTTTTTGTTGTTTATTTTTGAACACAAGTGAGACAGCTTGTGCGGCGCTGAAAACACCACTGGCACTTCAAAATGAGCCGCCACTTTTTTTAGATTGTGCGAAAGGTTATGAATATAAGGAATCACCGCCGGTCTTGTTAGTTGTCTGGAAGGAATATGATCATCATCTTTTCTCTTCATCTTGGAAACAAGGTTATCCGCTACTTCCACCAAGAAGCGATCGGGGTACCCTCCTCGTTTTAGACGATTCACCTGCGTGAGGAAGCTTTCATCCGCGACATGGTGGCATGATTTTGCAAGGGAGGCTCTCATTAGGCACAATGCTGTTCCCCTTTTTACGAGTTTGGATTGCGCAGAATTGAAGGGCAGAACCCCTTTCTTAGTTCGCGGCTCATATTTCCAACAAACATGGTCACCTTCGAAGTTGAGGCTCAAATCCAAAAACTGAAGCCTTCCCCTCGTCATAGTTTCATGGGTGAACGTCAATCCGTGTGAATTCAAGTTAAAACATTCCAGCACATCGCTGATTAAGTCCATGGTAACAGTAACGGACTTAGGGGCAAGCACCAAGAAATCATCGACATACCGACAGATTGTGAACTTCCCCATTTTTTCAATATCATTGCGTATTCTCTTATCACATTCAGCCAAAAATATATCGCAAAGCACTGGCGCAACACGGGAACCGATACATATGCCTCGCCTTTGAACATAAACGCCATCCCCAAAGGACACAAAGGTTGAGGTAAGATAGCATTCTAGTAACTCTAAAAAAGATTCCACACTTACTCCGCTCGAATTTCTAAAGCATATTTCATCGTTTTCTTCAATGCAGTTTTTTACCGCTGGAAACTGCTTATCATGTAATATGAATGTGCAGTTTTAGCTACTAGTGCTTCTTGTTCTTAGCAGTGTCGACTAAATTAGCAGTTCTAACTGCTAGAACTGCAAAAGAGTGAAAGAATGATTTGAAACTCATAAACCATGTTCAGTGCCACGAAATGAACAGCAATTGGGGCAGTTTTTTCTTTCAAATGAACTTGGAGCAGTGATGTCATCTGAGGGGAGTGTCTGTTCGATCAAATCAAACCTTGCCCAGCATCGGTACCACCTTCCTTACCTCTTTGTTCCAGTCTTTCCAACTCTGTATCCTAGTGCATGGCACATTTGCTTTGGTGACATTGCTGTAGAATGGCGGACAATACCACATTGTCGTGAAACACAGGAGAAATCAAGGGAGATCAAGCATGCGGAGCCAGTATGGCACACTCGCTGTCCTTTGTCTCTTCCTTTGAAAATACATATAATTCACATTCAAACAATTTTTCCGCTGCCAGTACTGCTTCAAATGACTGGCAATGTTGGTTGCCCTAGATCTGGTGAGAAGCAAGAGACCACAGTCTTGAGATTAAATGCTTCTCTCGGCTTTTAAAGGCTGCAAGACTCCTTTGCAGACAAGTCGGCTGCAGGAAAAAATGGAACTTATGTCGTCCACAAGGTCTCTGAACCTCAAAGCAGCTTTAAAGGAACATGGCTTTGGTATTCCATGGAAGGAACCTAGAACCTCAGAAAGATGAAAAGCTTTCCCAGAAACTTGTTGGTTTTGAATAATCAATGTCTGATGATATAACCGTTATCTTCAATCACACTGCCACATCTAGCTGGAGGAAACCATATCTAGATATAGTGTCCAAGTTTCTTTTTTAACAGTTGGGGCTTTGCATTTACACACACAATTGTGGCCTTATTATTTTTTTTATTGTTATTTATAATTTCAGAAAAGCAAGAAGTTGTAAAATTAAACTGAATTTCAGTGGATCATTAATTTAGCAGAAATGAACATATGGCAAGAAATTACCTTAACCCATTTGCTACCACACGTGTCGCAAGCTGCCGGGCCTTCCGTACCGCATGTATTTCCCCTAAAACAGGGCCACACAAGGCGTGACTGTTTTCCTTGTACTTTTACAGTAAACCTCGTTGCAGAAAACAAGAAAATATGTTTATTTACATACTTAAGTGGTTTGTTCAAGTCTTTAAATCAATAGGCCCTCACAGATTGTTCCTTGTGTGAAAGATCTCGAAGCACTTCATCCTTGGTCGCTTAGGCGTTGCACAGCCAGTGCGCTCTTGTCGTGATTTGGACTCAGAACTGCTGTCGGAATCGCTTCCATCATCGACAGAACGCTCTGAAAACTCACCATCCTCACCAGAAGTCCTGTCGTCATCACTGTCGAAGAGGATATCTATAATTTCATTGTAACAAAGGCCACACCATACACTGGACGCTGCCATCGTCTCCAAGCGGGCAGCGATCGAGTGGGAAAGACGACATGCAAAAGAACTAGCTCAAACAAACACAGCGAACAGAACGACCCTCGCCATCTGTTGCCAATGTATCTAACTACACTACCTCAAGTCTACATAGCGCGCCATCTATGAATGGCTCTTTACAACAAATTCATGCAGCCCAGCAACTCGCTGGCTTTGGTAGCGAATGGGTTAAAATAGCACGCCCTGAATTTTACGAGAACAAACTCCGAAATCACAGAACCCTATTTACGGCCAATCAGGGGATGGTCGGATTTTGCTGACATCTTCCTCTATCAGATAACCTGTAACCTAGCTTGCGAAGTGAGAATGCCGGCCTAACTGTGTGTTCCCATTTAATCAAATTGCACGGGGCTGCCATTTTGAAGCCGTCGACTGCAGTACCACGACTTGGTTTTGGAATGAAGCTTGGTAGTTTCGGTCCCCAGACAACATTCTCCACGGTTGCCGATGCTTTAAGAAATGCAGGGCATGGCAAGTCCCGAGCACGTCATTCTTGCTCCGCAGCCAACGAGAATGGCGAAGAATTGCAAAGTGCGTGCCCTGCACTTGTTGTCCCATCAATGACTTTAGCAAGAGTCACTGGAAAGCTACGCGCTGAGTATTGGCATTTCCCTGTCGTCTGACGCCGCCAATACAATCATTCGTCCAGCTGATTTTTTTTTTTGGCAGTATGTGGATGCTGCTACCCTCAAGCTTGCAGCTGTGCAGGTATCGTTTGCGACAGTTAGAGTTGTGAAATGCAATCTTTTAAACGGTACATGCGGGGTATGTAAATTAATGCGACGTCGTGCGACTGTGTTGCGAACCTTTCGAGCAAGCGGGACGACGGAGAACACTTCTAGCACCTTCCGTCGGGCAATTTTGCAAAAGCTGGTGACAACTGCCGACATTGATTCTACATACCCAAATGGCCGAACCGTCGTTATCCTAGAGCACGAGTTTCGACCGTCCCTACTCCGAAAAAGAAAACCGTTGCCGTATCAACTGTGCAAGGCAGATGTGGGTTCCTCGAGATTGAGAAGCCCTAGAGCGTAGCTCGTTCAGCAACTCCGAGGACGCGCGCGTGTGGCAGGTCGCCTGCAGCCGGACTGCACCCACTGCGGGGATCGGCCCGAGCGCAAGTGCCGCCACTGCGCCTGCTGCCGGTGCGGGGGCAAGGAGGACCCCAGCAGGCAGCTGCTGTGTGACGAGTGCGACAGGGCCTTCCACCTCGGCTGTCTGGACCCGCCCCTGGAGGAGCTGCCGCAGGAGGACACCTGGTGGGTCGGGTGTTTCCTGGGTCCCGTCCTGGACCGACGCGCTTAGACGTCTAGATGTGACGCACCGGGGTGGCGCAGCGGCAGAGGTGGATGCCCGTTCTGCTGCGGATCTTGCTCTCCGACCAGACACGAGATGGGAACTGAGGCAGACGCGAGACAGGCGTCTGCTCGCTTTTTTTACCGGCATTTCTGTGATCGACCGCCAGAATTGCGACGTCGGACAACATGACACGCTGGCTTCTGTGAGGCCCATTGTCGCTACTTTGGGACCAGTTCTGATGCATAAAGCAAAATTAATAGTAAACCAAAAGTAAAAAAAGAAATCTCTCTTCTTTTTTTAAGCGAGTAAATTAGATTTATTTGATTTAAATTGTTGTAGCCACAAAAAAAGTGTTTCTTTATCACTATGTGTATTTCTAAATGTAACAGATTAATTAATCAATTTGTCCAATCATTAAAAGCAATGCGGAAGAAAGAATTATTGTAAATATGGACTTTCGAAGCGTAGCTTAGTTAATGCCTTTATTTATGGAGGCCTCGCCATACCAAAACGAAGGCAGCTTAGTTTTTTTAGTTTGTGAAAACATTTTATGTGCTCCTGGAAATGACACGTGCTGGTAAAGTTTGGTGTTAGAGGAGAATTACACGAGTGTTGTCCCATCCTCTTCATTTATGACCTAACACCATTTATTTGCTTTTCTCGTGTTTCGATTAGCTCGCATAAGGAGTTACTTTTTATTTTTTCTTTCGCATTCTGATTTGTTTGCAAAGGGACATTACATAATCAAAGAATAAAGTGGAACGTGGAAGAAGAAAAAATTACGCTGTTTTGCTCAGAAGATCACCACTTTTTGTCGTGTTCAGCCCACTATAGTCATTTTTTGCGCAGCGAAAGTTTGATTTAAATACTATAGAAACAAATGCATGTAGAGATAGAGAAATGGTGAAATAATAGTAGAGAAACTATAAATAAACAAAATGTTTTTGGGTTATTTTTTTGAAAAAGGTTTGATTTAGAGCCTGATAGTTAAATAGGGCCGATTTAAATTGTGATTTACGTTACGGTCTAAATTTTGATTATTATTTTCTACCCTGCATCTTTTACTGGATCTGACATCTAAGCTCATTCATACATTTGTGCTTAGTGCGCCTGAGTGCGTCGCGCTCGCTCGTAACTGCTCCGGGAACGTGCTGGCACCATCTGTGGGTTGCCCTGAAATTCCTTTGACCTCCATCTAACTTTTGCTGCATTTGGGAGATGAATTCTACTCGACGAGAAACACTCGGTAACACTGTCGGAAGTATTTCAAGCCCACATTGAAAGAATGATGCGTATGTATGAAAATATATACGTGGATCGAGAGTGCTCCCGGGGCCACCCGGCGTTCTCTCGTCGTGAGTGGTCGCGAGAAGGCGCAACATGCTCTAGCACGCTTAACTATACTGCCCACGCATTAGAAGTGGTCCAGGAGTGGCTACGGACTACGTCACAGAGACCACCGTGTCATGCCGTCACGGTCGCGGCGGTTGGTCGTAGGAGGGACCAACCGTCGGGATCCTGGGGAGACGGAACTCGATTTCGTGGAGACTGGATTTAGAAAGCACCCGGATTTGTCGCCTAGATGATTAGTTCTGGATTAACTCTCGATTTGCGAGGAACGGGTCGCCCGTGTAGTGATCCAAACACTCTTGCATTTTCACTGAACTGTATTGTGGCACTCACTGTTCTACTTTCTACTTTTTATCGAAATACGGGTAATTTAAAGGAACCGCGCGCCGAGAAACATTAATTTCATTTTTTCAATTTAAATAACGAGAGTAATAGCTGGGAGGAGGGGAGAAAGAGGGGGGTTCCTTCCAAGGTGTCAGTCTTGCCTTTGGAATAAGGGCGTGCGAATGGGGCGTTACCTTTCCCCTTCCAGTCACACTCCCGAGCCCTTATATGTCGTATGCGTGATTATTAGAATTCTCGATTCTTTATTGGTATTACTCGGTTGCCCCCCTGAATGCATTTCTGATAAGGTGAATGAGTTACCCAAGCGGGCACCTGCGGAATGGAACCCCAAGGAGCGAGCGCAGAGTGGCGCGATCTGTGCAGTGTCGGGAACGACTTAATGAGTGTACATGATGTGCATCCAGCTTCACTAGCAAATATGTGCTGGCTCAGGTTTACGGCAGTCTATCGGCAGTGTGAGAATACGAAACGTGTCGGGGCTGTTCATCGTGTGTACACAAGCATCAGATTTAGTGCGATAGTACAACATTGTTTCGCGACCGTTTTGAGTTCACTGTACAGTCACTGACCAATTATTTGGATTCGATCGGGATCTTTAAAAAGTCAGAACAAACGAGCAGTCCGAGAAAGTGGATTCAACCAAAAAATTTCTGTATTGGCTCTTCATATACTAAATGGCTGCAGGGACGGGTCTATAGCTTGCTGAACGTGCCTTTCGCCTCTTTGCAATCACATTGTTTTGCGTTTTGGCGGTCGGCGTTGGATGGCTGGATGATGGCCTGCGCGGAGTGCACTGTCCACGTTCGTGAACTTCTCGCATGTCATGACAGCGACGGCCAAATTGTGCATACACGAAAATATGAAAGAACAGCGGCAAATCCACAGAGAGACCACAATCTCTCCGTGGATTTGACGGGCTTCCCAGATACACAGCGCAAAACGAAAGTCTGAGTCGAACGTTCATGCAGATAATGAGGCCGAACGTGCAGTCGGCGCAATTTGACGCTGCGAAACGTTGGCAGGAGACATGTGCAGAATGGCAGCAGACAGTGTCCACACCTTTAGACGACTGCATTCCCTCCATGAACAGGACAAAACAAAAGTGCCACTCAAATCAACCTCAATAACCCAAAAAAGAGGCAATGATTTCGATTATAGCATCAGTCCAGCTTCTGTATCGCGGGGACAGCGCCTTCTGGCATAAAACATATATAGAAAGCGGTGTCGAGGCTGCAGTCCAAACCGAAAAAAATGTGGCAGCGATTTGGTTCGCTTTGGCAGAATGGTCGCCGCTAAAAAGTGAGAAAAATTTTGCGACGAGGTGTACATTGTCCGGATTTTTAGTCGCCGTTATACATTAACTCTATGGGGTGAGTGGCGGTTCCGTAAAATTGTCAGGATAATCGAGCATGTCCAAAATTCTGCCATCCAAAGCATCGATTGGCGACTGTACTTCTTTCTAGCCACGCTAGATGTGTACACAAAACTGTTTTCTAGCTTTGTCTGGATGTTTTTTTAGTGGACATAGAGACATTGTTCACTTCCCTTTTTTTTTTATGAATTCCAGGCAGTGGTGGGGGCAATGACTTGTGACATTAAGTTATCTTATATTTAGCTTAGCATTACCTAGAAACTCATTACAGCAAAAAGATTTTACCTATTCCACCATTTACTTATTTTACCATAAAAAAACAAAAAGTTAAACTTATTTAAAAAAACGAAGAAATCGTGGTTTAGCAAAGTCAAGCAAGCTTTAGGTACCTTGGGCAAACCCTTGCGTGAGTCCCGGAAATTTGCAAATAAATGTTCTTTTTATGCTATTGCCACGTCATGTGTTCGGAATACGCCAGAACAACTTCTTGACATATCGGTACAGTTTCACCGAAAATAAGTCGGTGATCATTAGATGCATCGTTCGATGTTTCATACATTACTGTCATTCTTTCTTTGAACCGAGGAATGCAGAACCTACGATGGAACGTGATTGTTTCTCGTTATCGGCGGCGTTACATGGGCTTCCTCCGCCAAACTTGGATATTCACTGTGCTGACAGTCTGGTGGAAGCTATCTGCCACATAAACCAGTTAACCATCGATCTTGCACAACACGATTGTGCTCTCTGCGCATAGCCACGTGCAGAAAGCAGGGTCGGGCAACGAAAGAGCACGTGGCTTCCACCGCACCATCGGCTTAGCAGCAAACGGAGCGTGGCCTCGCCAATGCGGTCGGGGGAAACCCGTCTAAATGGGAGTTTGGGGGTCCCAGGTTCTGCCCGGAGTGCAAGACCGACACGTCGGAGGTGGTGCAGCCCGGGGAGGGGCTGAAGGACTCGAAGCGCAAGGCCAAGCTGCCGTCTGCGGCCCCCAAGGCGGCCAGGGACTGGGGACGGGGCATGGCCTGTGCGGGGCGCACCAAGGAATGCACCCTGGTGCCCCCCAACCACTACGGGCCCCTGCCCAACATCCCCGTGGGCTCCTGCTGGAAGTTCAGGCTGCAGGCGAGATGACTTATTTGTTCCTTAAACGCCCAATTAGGCCATCGCGTGAGAGGGAGAGGAGAAGCCTGTATACCCGAGTCACCATCTCCGGCTTCGTCTGCAAAGCCGGCGATGCCAGCAAAGCAGAATTGGTGGAATGTGGCGCTCACGAATAGCGATTCTGAAATAAAAACCTCTTCGTCCTACGTGGCCCATGTACACACACTCAAAATGGTAGGAAGTTGCTGACTGACGTTTATTTTTCTGAATGAAAGGTTTATACTACTGTATTGGCACAAATACAACGCAACAAAAGAAGTTATTACTAATTAGACGCAAACATAAAGTTACCACACTCGAGTGCATAGCAGAAGTGAAAAGGGGGACAAAAATTGGGAAGATATTGTGTTCTTTCTTACTACACTCATTGTTGCTGCCCAGCTCCTTCTCACTGTTGCATTTGCCTTTTAAAAGATATGCTTGTCTCATATTTTCTTTTAATTCGACGTGAGCTCCTTGTCTGCAAGTTGGTTTTCCAAGTGCACAAAGCGGAAGCACCAATGCAGAAATGCCAGAACACTCGAGCAGAAACAAAAAAAATGCGCAGGCAGAACAAGAACTTCTGAAGACGATGCACAATCCGTTGCTCTCGCCCATGCTATTGTCCCTCCGTATAAACAAACACTTGTTTCATGATCGCGTAAACACGGCCAGCGGTTTTGGCTTGGCTTGTGTCAATTCGGCCTGGCTTGGCTTGGACTAACTAGTGTCCTGCACCTCCCGGAGTTTTTGAGGCCGTGTGCATTGTAGAAACATGAAAACGACAAAATGCTTTCAACATTCTCTAGTCCTTGCTTTATGTGGCCGGCGCAGTAACTAATAACTTCCTGCACCCCCATATCTTTTCACACTCAATCTCCGGTAGGGTGCCCATATTCCTCGGGGTAGAAACAGGACACTTTGATTTAAGGGGGGGGATACAAAAGTGAAATTGTGTCACAATGAGCACATTGTTCCGGAGTCGGACAAGTGACCCATCGTCAGTTTTTTTACACTGTTTTATTGTTTTAAAACGGTACTTTCCTGGCCAAAACGGGACGTCTGGTTTCGGGCATTCAGTTAAAAGAACAGCTTTTTCCCCACTCGCGCGTCTTGTGGCCAAGTTCGATTCTGAATATATTGTAAAGGTGTGTTTTGGAGCACGTAATTTAGAAAAATAAACTCGTTTTATATTATACAAATACGGTAAATTTCTTGTTATTTGGTGCAGTCTATTAGGATTTTTATTTCGAAAAGGTGCAACATTCACCGGGCTCACCCCTGTGGCCTGGTAACACTTTGACACAATGTAAAGCTATCCAAAACACTTAGGTTTAGCCGCTCTTTTCAAACTTCCTAAGTTCGTGTTTCAGGACCCAAACCTGTTTTGGAAGAAGTATCGCCATATTGCTAACATTTACTTTTGACTGCTATGAAAAAAAAAAAAAAAAAAAATAACAATTTTTGTAGTTTACGATAACGAAGGAGGGACATTGAAGACAAACGAACAACACAGGCTTTAGACTTTCTACAAAACGTTTACTGGCTTGACTTCGCCTCCTGAAGCTCGACGGGGGACGTCGGGGAGGTAGAGAGGGAGGGTGGTGGGTGAGAGAAGCGTGAGCCATGTGGCCCTGCCCGCAGCTATGCGCGCACGGCAGAAGGTGGGGGTCTACCCTGTGTCATTCGACACGTTACTGTTACAAGGAGCCCCGAGTGCCGGCGGTGCCTTTTTGGAAAAAGAAGGGAAGAGGGGGATGGGCACGGAGAGGAGGAGGAGGAGAAGATACCGGAATTTTGTCTTTTTTATATCTTTGGAGGAACGCTCTCGCACAACAAACCTTTGTGCCTCTTGTTCCCCTTCTCCAGGTATTCTTTTCTTCATTGCCAGGTATATTTCCCGCAATGACACCAGTTGTGACGTCTCTTTTTGACCTTTGTGAAAATAGCAGAGTGCGCGTGCATAGCTTTAACAGGCGCTGAAGTTGCTCGAGAGCAGGGATTCCGAAAACTCCTAGTATGACATCATGCCCCGGAAAAAAGGGTCTTCGGCGGTACTTTAAAAATTTATTTCTGCAGCCCTTGTGCACCAAATGAAAAAACAATCTCAATATTTGTGGTCCTGGAGGCCAAATGAAGACGATTTATGTGTTTTTCCTCAAATACAGAACTGCTTCAGTTTCCCTTTAAAGGGGCGGCGCAATGATTTTAACACTGAACGAATGTGCAGCTTGTATTTTTTATATTGTTTACTTCGGCATAAGTAAGAGAAAAAGTGCCACCATATCCCAAAATACCTCAATTTCGCTGCTTAATCGCAAAATAAAAAACACTTTTTTTCCCAACCTGCGGCCACATGGTGGCCGCAAATGGAACCTGTGGTGGGACGTCATTCGGAGTGGTTCTTTAAAGGGGCGGTGCAATGATTTTAACACTGAACGAATGTGCAGCTTGTATTTTTTATATTGTTTACTTCGGCATAAGTAAGAGAAAAAGTGCCACCATACCCCAAAATACCTTTATTTCGCTGCGTAATCGTAAAATAAAAAACACTTTTTTTCCCAACCTGCGGCCACATGGTGGCCGCAAATGGAACCTGTGGTGTGACGTCATTCGGAGTGGTTTTTGTAAGTGATAGTGTTAGGCAATTGTAAGCTTGATTTAAGGTTAAGTTTAAAAAGTCTTGTTCTTTAGGCATGCAGAAACGCTTTAAAAAGCCTAATATTGCCGCTAAAAGGGTATGAATTATTTGTGGCGCCATCTACCGAAAGTCAACAAAACTTGCCGTCGCCGTCATCCGTCGACGCCCGAGGCGCCTACAGCGGCTACACGAGCAACCCGGACGTTTTGTCTTTCCCTCGCTCGACGGAGTGCGTTGGTCGTGGTCCGTAGTATCGTGGTATCGTTATTGTTCCTGGTGTCTCGACCTCGACTTCGACTTCGACTGCCCGCCGCGTCGCAAGCATCTTGCGCTCGACGTCGCTTAGGCCGTCCGCCCTGCGTCCGCCCATGCCGCCATGTTAGTCGGGAATCGGCGGGAGAGCGGCGAGCAAGGAGGTTAGAAGTACTAGGAGGGGGCATGTTGCAATATTGGTGAAGCCTAGTCATAAAACGTTTAAGCGATTTTGTGCCCAGCGTGACCGCAGATCTCTCTGGTGATTGGTGCGCGTGACATGTCACGTGTGAGGTGGATGGTTGATTCTGGAAGGACTCCTTGCAGGCTTGCGCGCGCTCCGTCCGGTAGGTTTTATCAGACTGAAGGCTAGACTGTGGTGTATTCTAGTACCCCACAGCAAGACGAAGGCTAGCTACGGTCACGTGATGTGGTCACGTTGGCATGGTAAGTGAGGAGAGTAAAGAGGAAAATGAGAAAGAGGCGAGGCGTCAAGGGAGCATGGCTTGTGGAGGCTATGCGGCCGACGTCATGCCCTCTCCTACCCTTCCATCCTCCTTGGCGGCGAGCCGGCGAGCGCTGGGGAAACGGAAGCCAGAAGAACCCAACCGGAAACCAACGCCATTCCGAATGACGTCACAGGCGAAGCTGGTGCCGCTTCAATGTTGAGTTGAGGGGTGCCAGAGATACCAATTTCTTTTATTTTTTTTAATGAAAACTAGGGCAAGCAGGAAAGAATAGTTTTCGGTCCTTCGTTTTATATGTGGCCGGGATCAATTCCCGCAATTAATTAGCCAAAGTCCGCAAATTGTTGCACCGCCCCTTTAAGTGATAGTGTTAGGCAATTGTAAGCTTGATTTAAGGTTAAGTTTAAAAAAATCTTGTTGTTTAGGCATGCAGAAACGCTTCAGAAGCCTAATATTGCCGCTAAAAGGGTATGAATTATTTGTGGCGCCATCTACCTGCAAGTCAACAAAACCTGCCGTCGCCGTCATCCATCAACGCCCGAGGCGCCTACGGCGGCTACACGAGCAAGCCGAACGTTTTGTCTTTCTCTCGCTCGACGGAGTGCGTTGGTCGTGGTTCGTAGTATCGTGGTATCATTATTGTTCCTGGTGTCTCGACCTCGACTTCGACTTGGACTGCTTGCCGCGTTGACTGCCCGCCGCACAAGTCCAAGACTTACTATACGCAAGCATCTTGCGCTCGACCTCGCTCAGGCCATCCGCCCATGCCGCCATGTTGGTCGGGAATCGGCGGGAGAGCGGCGAGCCCGGCGAGCCCGGCGAGCGCTGGGGAAACGGAAGCCAGAAGCACCCTACCGGAAACCAACGCCACTCCGAATGACGTCACAGGCGAAGCTGGTGCTGCTTCAATGTCGAGTTGAGGGGTGCCAGAGATACCAATTTTTTTTTGTTTTTTTTTTAATGAAAACTAGGGCAAGCAGGAAAGAATAGTTTTCGGTCCTTCGTTTTATATGTGGCCGGGATGAATTCCCGCAATTAATTAGCCAAAGTCCGCAAATTGTTGCACCGCCCCTTTAAGTCTCTCGATAGTTTCATACTAAAACAATAGTTGTATTAAGGTGATTTTTGCCAAAAAGTGGATTGAAGAAAAATGCATTCAAGGTACTCAAACCTCTACCATTTCTTTAGCATTAATGAACTTAAATATGTGGGAAAAAAACAACAACGATGGAGCTTGGACTGTGCAGGTGTCGGAGTCTGGCTGTCATCGTCCTCCCGTTGGCGGCATCCACGGTAGGGAGTCCGATGGAGCGTACTCCATCGTGCTCTCCGGGGGCTACGAAGACGACGCCGTGAGTGCCCGCCTGAACCCTGTGTGAAGACCTTTGTCCTCCGTACTTTCTGTTTGGCTTGTTCGATTCCTGGACAAAGCAGTGCAGCTCACGAGTCCATGTAGAGAAGTTATCAAATATCATATTTTACCAAATACCATACTGTAGGGGTGCGTGTTATACATACATTTTGGCATGTATTGCAGCTTCGTGGCAATGTGCTTCGAGCCAGAGAGCCCTGATGTCTCCAAATCCCTCTTCTTTGTCCTGTCATAGACACTATCTTCTCCCACTTACCCCACAACCCCTATGTTTGCGAAAATATGTTTTTGGGGAGTGCAGTGTCCCCTTAACAAAAGGAATATTATATAAAACAATATGAACTGAATTCTACTATTATAACTTATAATAAAAATGGTGGCTCAATATCTCAAGATTTCTTGAATTGCGTGACTATTAAGAGAGAGTACAGTCGCCGACCGATTTTTCGGACTCGGATAATTCGGACGATTTCGATAATTCAAACCTAAAAAAGAAACCGTGACTTAGAAGAAGTAGTGTAAATTTACGACCAACGTTTCGGACAGCTTGAAGTCCGAAAGTTAGATTGTTCGGACAAAATTGTTGCGAGCGATCAGCGGGAAACACCACCGAGAAGCGGCCATTTTGAATTCTATGTTGGCTGCAGATGGATTGGCTTGGCTTGGCAGCGCAACTTGAGTACACTATAGACCACTTACAACGTAACCGCTTATAGTGCAGGACCGGGTATAACGCAGTTTTTTTTAAACCACCGGTTCGCCTCCCATAGAACTCCATGTAATTACATACCCAGTGATGTGATTGCTGCGCCAATTGCGCCAAACTGCGCCAAAGGGCTAACCCTGCTACATCCTGCTACATTTTGCCAAAATATGGGTAATCTGCGCCAAGCCTGCGCCAAAAAAAACAAACAAAAAAAAACAACTTCGTTCGCCTTTCAAAACCGAAACTAAACAGCGCACCGTATTGAGCTTGCGTGTGTTACGTGGCGCAAGCGGCCGCCCGACACAAGTACCCTACATCAATTGTCCATCCGGTCCTGCATGGTTTTCCCGCCATCTGGCGTTTCGCGCTCTCGTCGTCCCGTGGATCTCGTCTCGCGTCTTTTTTTTTTTTTAATATATTTTCAACAATGGACGCGGGTACCCCCTTGGGGACGTACCGGGTTCCCGCCATGCCGTCATGCTGTGAAACGAAACCGCGTTTTTGCGCGGCGGAAGTTAGTTTGTGAACTGAAGCACTCGCTCCTGAAAGCAACAGTCCTGAGAAAACTATATTTGGTCCCTGCCTTCCAGTCAGCGTGTTCGCGCGACGTCGGGTGTTGCCGTCCCCACGTCGCTGCAGATATGACGCTTTCTAAAATGAAACTAAGTACCACCGTATTTTCATCAACATTTCCTGTCCTTTTAATCATACATTACTACAAAAATCCCTCTTTAACTCAAAGACTGCTGTGTCGAAGTTTTGCTTACCTGTTTCTCTCGGTGGGCTTTCTTCCGAGAGGGATTCCGGTTACGTGAAAAATCTGCCGCGAAAGAAAGTTGGTGAAGCGAAGTGAGCTAAAACAAAGAAGGCAATGTATGCACGCTGAACCCGCACAGCGCCCTTGTTTGTCTCGACTTCAGTCGTTGCAAAAAGCGCTCCGAAAACTTTCTGACCCTGGCTTGCGATGTGTTACGTCGATGCGTTCTGGTTCTTTTTTGCTTTTTTTATGTGTTTAGCTTGTACCTTGTTTGCCTGCCTGACTAGAACGTGTGGCTGGCATGTTCTTCGTCGTATGCTCGACAGTTTCATTTTGCATACAATTTCGGGAATCAGTTGGCGACGTAGCAGAGCGACATGGTTTCGGTTTCGATCGAACAGCCGTTGTCTCCGCTTGCGCGACGATGCACGCGCAACTGCAAGCCTTCTGAAGTTGCCCTCACGTGTTCGTGAACTTGATTGCACGGCAGAGGCAGCAGCCGGGACGCTTGCAATCCATTTTTTTTAGACGAAACTCTGGTTCGCCGGGAACCAGTAAAACGGTGGCAAGCGGTTTTTTTTTTCGGATATGCTCGGCAACGCCTGCAGCACTGTACACTTCTGGGATGTCTCAGCAGTAAAAACTAGTGATGGGCCGAACTTTTGCCGAATCGAAAGTTCGGCGCCGAACCTTGGGATTCGGCAAAGCCGAACTTTTGCCGAACGTTTCTAAAGATTCGGCAAAGATTCGGCAGAAATACATTGTTACCAGACTCGTTGATATTTCGTTTCTTTTCTGGCGAAAAAAAGGTTTTATGTTTTTTTTTTCTTAACTTAAATGCAACATGTAATGCATATTGACATAGTTATTACTAAATAAGGTGATATTCGACAAGATAATTGTATTGATGTCGTTTTTGTGTGTTTACTAGCAATTTTAGTGACTCCTTGCAGAAGAGGCGTGACAACGAGGTTAGGTAGAAGCGAGCGTGGCGGAGTCACGAATCGGCTTACGAGAGTTTCGGTTTTGAGGCATGATCAGCGCAAGCCTGCATGTGTGTGTAAATTGCTAAAATGCAGGCAGTAACGCTGCGTTCTTCCTTTCTCTGGGAGTCACTGTTTTGTGCGCGAAAACGAATGCAACGGTTGCTTAGCCTTTACCAGAAGAGAGAATAATAATATTGTAAATATGCATGTTCTTGGATTTGAGTCACTTGACGTCAGATTCTCATGAAAGCGTGCGTCCCATATTCGCAACGTCTCGTTTTTAACCTTTAAAATGCATGTTCCTGGTGTTAGCTAGGACACACACGAACGTTTCGGAAGATAGGGAGAGTGAATGTCGGATGTGCAACGTAGAGCATTATAGTTCCGTGTTTAGTTTTATGCAGATACATGAAAATCGCGAAATAACACTAATTGAAAAGCAATATTATTTTGTTTTAGAACACACTACTCCTGAGCCGAAAACAAAATTGTTATAATTGCGAAGAGGGCTTTAAAATAATTTTCGGCCAATGTTTCAGAATGCACCGCATCATTTGTCACTTGCGCAGTGGACTGCGTAAATTGCTGATCGATCTTCTATTCTTGAGGCAGGAGATATTGAAGAGAAGCACACTCGCTCACTCTGTCGCTCACAAACGCACAGTTACCGTGTTGCCTACCCCGCACCGCGCCGTAACCGCTGGTTGTACTGCACTGCCTAACCGCACGACTGCACGGCGTCCATTTGCAATCCAAGGCTCCGTCGCGTTCTCGCGCGTGCGAAGTCATTTGCCGAATTTTTGCCGAATCTTTGCCGAACTTTCCTGCATAAGTTCGGCATTTGCCGAACTTGCCGAATCTGAAGTTCGGCAGATTCGGTCCATCACTAGTAAAAACACAAGCAGGAACTTTCGTCACATAATGCTTGGAGTTGGGCTAGTTGGTTTGACATTGATGGTATGCTGCGCTGCGTAGTTGCGCGGAAAAAACAGTGCTTCTTCCGCGTAACTACGCAGCGCAGCATACCATCAATTTCGTCACAACACGTCACATTAGAATACTACAGAAGTCAAAGCACACTTAAAACGAATATTTTTATTCTTCTAAGAATATCTGCTCCAAAAGCCACTTTTGCTGCTCCGAAACACTGTCTTGGCTGCTCCAAAAGCCACATTTGCTGCTCCAAAACACTGTTTTGGCTGCTCCGAAAGGTGCTCCAAAATGGCTTAGGCCAATCACATCACTGCATACCGCTTAAAATGCGGGCGTGCGAAGGGAAATACCGGTTATAGTGCGGTTTCTGGAACGACCGGCGCTGCGAGCATGCTTCCCTGTGCGACACAAGATAACGGCGCTGACGGCGCTAGCCGCAAGCGGCACTCGAGGGGCAAGGAGGTTGCTCGAAGAAGCGGGGAGAAGCGAAGAGAGAGGCTTCAGTTGCCATAGCGACGGAGGGACGCACGCACGTGTCGTTCACGTGCGTGTGTCCCTCCGCTGCGTTGGAAAACAACCGCAACAACAGACCAATCGTAGGTCGAGGAGAAGTGTTCACGCGCGTTGCATGCCGGTCACGGGCCGGCTGCTTCTATCCGCAAACATGGCGTCGGTTGTGATTGTCGTCGTAGACAGCGTGGTGGAAACTCATCGTTCCGCCTAAAAGCGCTATCCTTGACTGTGAATTTTCGTTGTGTGTCGCTATCATAACCCATCACGTACTAGAAGGGAAGATCCACCTACTCGTGTGGCGATGTCGTGGCGGCACTCTCAAGACAGCAGAAACGCCCGTGTCGTTGTGTTTGTTTACTTCGACTACAGTGGTGATTTCTAAGCATTTGTGTCCTCGAACATCGCCAGGATTTCTTATTTGGCGCATTTCATGCGTGTGCTCAAGTTGAAGGTATTACTGGCGCGTACCGTATGAAAGATGAAAATTTTTACGCGTTTTCATCACCGGAGAAAAGTGATTGGGGTTAGCAATCCTGAACGCTCGCAACGTCCGTCCGCAACCCGCGACGCCGTTAAAAGGCTGCGCCAGGCAAAAGCCGCTCATTTCTTTCAAAATGTGTGACACACTTGAGACAGAACTTTACTAGTCTGGTGAAATAAAGACTTTCCTCAAACTAAGCTTTATTTTTCATCTAACATAAAATAAATTCTTTTACAAAGGTAAGTTGTTTCATGGCATGTATTTTGGCCTGAAAAATTTATGTTTTGGTTATAGCACGGTACCGCTTTTAAGTGTAGACTGCATATAACGTATGTCGCGGGAGTCGCGAAAATCCGCACTATAAGCGGTACCGCGCTATAACCAAAACATCAATTTTTCAGGCCAAAGTACATGCCATGAGACAACTTACCTTTGTAAAACAATTTATTTTATATTAGATGAAAAATAAAACTTAGTTTGAGGAAAGTCTTTATTTCACCAGACTAGTACACTTCTCTCTCAAGCGTGTCATGCATTTTGAAAGAAATGAGCGGCTTTTGCCTGGTGCAGCCTTTTAAAGGGGTTATGGCACGAAAATTAAACG